CCATATTTAATTGTATTATAATTGTATAATTATAATATAATACTTACAATTAATAATAGGTTCATGTTCTGGTGTTTTCCAACTGTTTTTCAGTTACCTCGGTTATACTTCTCATCACATCAGGCATACAATTGAAGTTAAAATTTCGAATTACAATTACAAAAACTTACCTTAGTAAATTTCTCGTCTTCTTTCTTACACTTATTAAATTCACGATTATCTAGTCTAGATGGTGAACTTGGTTTTTTAAGGAACGAGAATTAGAAATAAAGAACTGCATGTTTGTTGATTTATCAAAATTAATGGGATACTTGACATTGCATATTTTCACTAATCTTCGCATAATTTGGCTTATAATTACTAGTTGAAAGGCGCAAGCAGTCGTCGAGATGCTCGTCTGTCAGTCGCGTTCTGTACTTATTCTTGATAATATTCATGTGCGAGAAACTGGATTCACAAAGATAGGTGCTCCCAAAGCAAGAAAGAATTCGGAGATACATATCTTTTAAGCATGGATATGTTTCTGGATTTAACAGTTTCCACATGTCCGTGATTTGTTGACTCTTCATAATAATGTCGTTTTGTAAATTTATAATTTCTAATTCCAAGCTTTCTTTATTAATATTGAAAAGCGATTCAATTTTCTCAGCCACGAGTTCAATTTCTGTAGCATCAAAGGGGGAGGTCACAAAGCACATTGTAGGTTCCAAGTTTTTAAATTCAGAAAATCTCTTCTGAAATTCCTCCCATATTTTTTCTAAAAGAACTGCAAATCCTTCATAATTATTTTCTTCTTCTTCACCGTTTTCTTTCGTTAAATTTGAAAAATGCTTCAAATCCCCCTTACGTAGTTGAGAAATCCATAATTTTAGTTTCATCTGAAATGAATTGATTGAAGATATCATATTGGCTATATTTTTGTTTCTTCCTTGTAATTCAAGATTCAACTCATTTAGTTTTGTTGTGATGTCCGTTAAAAATGCTAGTTTTTGAAGCTACTCCACGTTTTCAAGAAAAACGATGTTTTCATCCTTCATTTCCTTCAGAAATTCTTTAATATGGGGTACTAACTGACGAAATCTGACCAGAATTGACCCTTTACTTAACCACCTGATTTCATTATGAAGAAGCAATTCATCATAGTCAGCCTCAACTTTGTTGAGCAGGGATTTAAATAAACGGCGTCTCATTGGTACGAAAGCGCCTAAGGGTCACAAAATTATAAAAAAATTATTTTTTCCAATATATTGGAAAAAGATTGAATATATTGGGAAAAAATTGAATGTATTGGGAAAAAAATTGAATGTATTGGGAAAAAAATTGAATATATTGGAAACAATTGAATATATTGCGAAAAACTTAAAAATATTGCGAAAAAATTTAATATATTGGAAAAAAATGTTACACAAACTCAACACTTATGTCGGATATTGCAGAGTGAGTTACGAGTTTAATGTGCAGTGGCATTTGTGGAAAATCGAAATGAATAACGTAGATTTATTTGATGCACCCAGCAACGCTTTACCGATGATTTAGTAAGAGGTTATTTTTGAAGTGGCATGCATTACGATGAAATACTGGCTTTTATCTATTTGAGACATAATACGTAAATTGAAGAAGTTATTGTATATAAAAAAAAACATTATTCGGATTTATCCACAATCATCGATTTTATCCAAAGCCAGTTAAAGGAATCTGTTCAATTATGTGGATATCGTTGGATTCATCATAGATTACATAGACATACAGAATGGATTTGTTGTAACACAGGCTACAATTAGAGTAATTTTACAAGAATTGAATCCCGAAGGCGTACGTAGAATACAGAAAACGTAAAAGACTACGCCGACGAAAATATTCGATAAATGGCCCTAATTTAGGTATGGCATATGGACGCATATGACAAACTAAAACCTTATGGATTAGCTATTAGCGCGGGTGCATTGATGGTTTTTTGAGACGAATAATA